AAGCCAAAAAGTCTCCACTGAACACATCCTGGACAAAAATGCCACCTATGTGCCTTCTATGGTGCTTTCACCATATACCTATGTGCTTTTGTGATAACAGCAAATGCGCAGAAGGGTATGATGGGGACAGAGTGGAGAAGTGCTCTTCTTCAGCGTTCACTCCCTCTAGAGCAAAGGGTATGGGGACAGAAAGGAAAAACAGGAGAACAAGAGTGAGAGAGAAAAGAACAGGAACAGGCAAATGACAGAAGATAAATGGAGAGAAGAAATGCAGCCTGAAACCTTAGAGAACAGAGTTTTAAAAAATCATTATAATATTTGTGCTACGTTTCTTTTTTAGGTCTTTTTGTTGGAATGACAGCAATACAATCATTGTTGTAATTCCTTTTGTTTTTCTTCCTGCATTCCTTTCCCATGTTCATCTGTCTATTTCTTCATTAATTCTTACCAGACCCTGCAGCATTTTAGTTGAGTCTTTTGACCATCTTTCTTACCCAGCATATGAATAGACCTTTCTTGAGCATGCAAACTATTGTGCAGGTTTTCCTTTTGTGGAGAGAGAACTAGGTAACTTAAAAATAATTAGCTGAAATTTCCTCCCCTCCCCTCTTTTTTTTAAAGACAATTCCTCATCTCTCCAAGAAGATGAAGAGGTAGATATGGAGGCTGTCAACTGGCAGCTGAACAGCAGCTCCATGAATGGACATTCATCTACCCCAAACACAGTTCGCTTTCCCAGTTGGGTAACTTTTGATGACAATGAAGTCAGTTTTGCGCCGCAGAATCTTTCTCCCTTGAAAACAGACACTCCACCTGCAGAAACACAGACTCCAGATGTTAACTTTAACACTACATCCTTTAAGAAAAGAGAACGTCCTAAAAGCACATTGGGAGACCTTTCCAAAATTCAAAAACTAGATCTCTCCTCCTTAACCAAGTTGCCTTCTGTTGAAACACCACCATGGAGTGCTACTAATCCATTCCTGGATGAATCTCTGCGAGATGTCCAACCCTCACCCATCAATCCATTCAGTTCATTCTTTGAGGAGCAAGACAGGCGTTCTAAAAGCTCTTCTGTCTCCAGTGCTCTAGGCAAAAGCCAAAGAGATTCTCTCATTATTCTTCATCAAGAACCTGATACTATCAGTTTCCATGAGGCAAACAAAAGTGTAACTCACATCGATGCTGTAGAGCAGCTCAAGCAACTCCAGATTGGAGACCCAGATCATGTGAGCAGCCCTACCTTGCCTGATGATGACCCTGTGATGCCATATGATCTGGATGCAGCCTTATTTAACCTGGCACCAACTCAGCCAAAGGATGGATGGCCAATGATGCTTAGGATCCCAGAAAAGAAGAATATTATGTCATCCAGGCATTGGGGACCAATATATGTCAAGCTGACAGACAGTGGATGTATACAGCTTTTTTATGAGAAAGGACTGGAGAAACCTTTCCGGGAATTCAAACTTGAAATCAATCATGAGATCTCAGAGCGCAAACTGCAGAACTATGATGAGAATGGAAGGATACACAGTGTGCGATTGGACCGCACAACCTACAAGGAGAAAAAGAAGTACCAGCCTAAGCCAGCCATTGCTCACACAGCAGAGAGAGAGCAAATTATCAAGCTCGGGACGACAGATTACGAAGACTTCCTTAGCTTCATCAGTGCTGTGCAAGACACACTGATGAAGTTGCCAGCCTCATCAACAGATCTGAGCACAGTGGGACTAAACTATCAAGAAGAAGAAATCACGATTGATGTCAGGGATGAGTTTCATGGTATCTTGGCCAAAGGAGATGGTGTGATTCTTCAGCACAGTGTGCTGACCCATATCTATGTTCTCAGCTTCCTTTCTGGCCTAGCAGAATGCAGACTGGGCCTTAATGATATCCTGATCAAAGGTAATGAAATAGTTGCAAGGCAAGATATTATGCCCACTACTACCACTAAGTGGATTAAATTATACAGCTGTCAGTTCCATTCATGTGTGGATGAGGATATGTTTAATAATTCCCGTGTTATCCTGTTCAACCCCTTGGATGCCTGCAGGTTTGAACTAATGCGATTCAGAACTGTCTTTGCTGAGAAAACTTTGCCTTTCACCCTCAGGACAGCTGCCAGCATCAGTGGTGCTGAGGTGGAGGTGCAGAGCTGGCTGATGATGTCCACGGGATTCTCTTCCAACCGTGACCCTTTAACTCAGGTCCCTTGTGAAAATGTGATGATCCGCTACCCAGTGCCAAATGAGTGGGTGAAGAACTTCCGAAGGGATAGTGTCCTGGGGGAGAAATCTTTGAAAGCCAAGGTGAACAAAGGGGCCACTTTTGGATCAACCAGTATGTCTGGTTCTGAGCCAGTAATGAGAGTAACTTTGGGAACTGCCAAATATGAGCATGCATTTAATTCTATCGTATGGAGGATAAACCGACTACCTGACAAAAACTCAGGTGAGTAGTGCATACTATCTCTGCAGAAGAAAACTAAAAGGAGTTACATATTTTAGAAGATAGGGAATCCTGGGTTTACATGATGAGGGATAAATCATCTTCTCTAGTATACCAAAGGACATCAGTTAGTTGCATTAAGCATTTTTCTGCCCCTTCACTGCTGTAGTTTTTTTTACATATCCTACAAACCTTGCTAGTGATAAAAACAGGTTTAAGTTTTCTGGATGCAAAAATAGGCCTTATGTCTCTGCTTTTTTGAGCACATTATGGGACTTAGGCACAAAATAGCTCAGTGTGTTTAGCACTGTTACTGGAAGCGGGGCTTTTTCAGGTAACTTGCAAAGGCAAGGTGCTATTCTACAGGGTGAATGACAGGACCAGATAAATTGCTATAGTTCCAGTTCTTGTGATTCTTCTTCCATGCCTTACCAAGCTTAGTGAGCTAGTGCAATATATTTTGACACATATACCACAACTCATGCCTACAAAATGGCTGGAATGGGCATTGTAAGAGAACAGAAGATGTTGTGCAACTGTTAAAAAAAAAATCCCAGTCACCAGATTATGGCTGTGTTTTTGTAATTAATGCAGACAGGTGAATGAATACAGCTTAAACCTGAAGAGGGAATACCAACATAAAACCCACAAGTATTTGTATTTTTAGTAGCATGTTCATAATTAAACATTCAAATAATACAAGCAAGCTACTGTTCCCTCTGGCCGTCACTGCCAGTCATTCAATTTCCTGCCTTTTATCCATGATGTGCAATAAAGCTGGACAACTTGGGTTCATTTCTGTTTCATAGTGTACTCTACTTCTTGATTTCTCTGTTCCAGACTAGCTATTTACAAATTACACACGCTTATTATTAATGCTTTAGTAATGCAGCTGAGTGACTGGTTGGGTTTCGGTATTTGGTGTTCCCTGGAAGTTCAGTGTTGTACCAGATTTGACACTTTCCAAGGATGTATGTTTTTCCTGAGTTTGAGCTATAGTGTCAGCAAAACAATGATCCTACTGTTGTAATCTTTTGGATCACATTTCAGCCTGAGGATGGCAGCTTACACCATAGATTACAAATGTGGAGGGATATCACTGACAAAAGTGAAGGCTCCATGTTGTCTGTAGTGTGGAACATAAGAAAAGAGAGCTTATCCTCAAGCTGTTAATGAGCAATATTGTGCTCGTGAGGAGACTCTCATTATGCCATCTGCATGAGCTCTGGGAATGAGATGCTGAGAAATTAGGCCTTCTTTGGCATCTTTTCTCCATAGATCTCTGTACACCATATAGCTATTGCAGCTGGAGAAACAATCCTCCAAACTTTAACACAATCCCAGAACATGCCAGCAGCAAACTAGGAGAAGAGGCAGAACTTCTGGCTTTACTGCCTTTAGCGAGGTGATGCTCCCTTACCCATCACTGCTTTGAAGGGGATGTTGATCTGTCTCCTGTTTCCTTGATCTTTTCTCTCCCACTGTGCCAGAGATACACCCTGTGTCAGGAGGAACTGGATCAGAGAATTGGCGCTGCTGTTGGAGCCCTGCCACAGAGCATCAGTGTCACCATGCAGAACGCAGAGCAGTTAGTATTTGTTTACATCCCGAGAGAAAGAGAGTGTCATCTTCCCTCCGGTCAGGGCAGATGTGATTTCAGGGAAAGGAAGGGCCTGACAAACACTGTCTTGGCCAGGATACACGAGGTACGTGACAAAGAGGGAATCCCAAAGTGACGACAGGGCAGGCCAAGCATAGCTTAAATCTGACCTTCCCTCACAAGGGCTATTCACATTTCCTGACAGTAGTTACCCCATGGCTTTCCTTACTCAAAGTAAATGGCAAACAAAGAGGGATATAAATGTGCTACTCAAAGGCATTGATTCCCACTGCTTCTTAGATTTGCCTGATGGACCACATATACTTCTGACCATATGGTACTGATGTATGGTCTACTCCCAGCCTTGTGCATGCTTGGCTGTATACAGCCTCACTTACAAGTCATGTAATAATTCACCTCCACCTGTTTTCAAAAGTTCCTACAAATTATGCAGTTCTCAGACACCAAGTATAAAAATATTCCCCTGACTTGCACTGTATGCTTTCTTACTGTGGCACCTGCAGCTCACCCCTAACAGCACTCTAGGCCCTCTCTCTGTAAATGTCTGGCCTGCTAATAAACTGCTCTGGTGCCTGCCAACTCCAGAGCAGGAGAGAAGTGGTGGCATCAAACTGCAGCTGGGGGGAAGTGCTGCAGGTGGCCACAGTGTCCAGCTCCACCTTGGCTCCTGTCCATAGGACCTGGGGCATATGCACTGCATGACTCCCTCCAGGACACATGCATATCTGCCAGCTCTCTCTGCCTATCAAAGAAATATGTATGAAGACACAGCCTTTGTTCATCCACATTGTATGCTCTGACACATCAGTCCCTTGCAAATGTGATCCTAGGAACTCCAGAGGCCTGCAGGTAGCCACTTGGACCTCTTGTGCTGCATCATTCTCTGGATGCAACAGACTGGTGCAGGCCCTGTGTAGACATGAGGTGTATTGATGCCATCAGCCCTGCCTGGAATCTGCCTTGAGGCCCAGTACCACAGCCCAGTAGGGGAATAGCGCTGGTCTCACTATTGGGGTGTATTACCCTAGCACCCAAATTGTTAAGAACTATTACATGAGCTTCGCTGTCTTATTCAAATGTTTACTCTTTGTGCTTTCTAATGAGATGAGGCCCTTAGCACGTCCATGATAGGAACTTGTTATCAGCACTGTCTATATTGTTTTGTAGACAAAGCGTCTGGACATTGAAAATCATATGATGAAGGACTGTGTGTACTCTGGCTATGATCTGATCTAAGAAAAAATTATGGACTGGATTCTACTAAGCACATTGCTGAAATCCTTTCCAAAATAGCTTGTTTAACTTTATTGCCCTTCTCATATTCATAATTAATACTATCAAAGTACTTGATAAAGCCTATTTACAGGTTCTGCAGAGCTTCAATTTTAGCTGGCTGGGCTCCATATGTTGTTTGTTTGTTTGTTTGTTTGTTTGTTTTTTAAATCCTCCAGTAGAGTATTCGGAAAATATCCACCCAGTCTTCTATCGTGGGAAAATGCTCTTCCAGTGAAGCAGGGATGCAGCTTCCATGCAGAGCCTTGGATCTGGATATTTGAGCTTTGCACTAGTTTGGCTGTGGATCCCAGTCATGCTGCCTGCTATGCTTTCTGAAGTAAATTAAATCCTTTAATCCAAACTTGCTGGGATATCAGAGTAGTTTGAAACAGATTCTCTCCAATCACAGTAACTCATGCATATATATGAATTGTATTGTCAGATCCTTCATTGTCAGAATGAAATGTTAATACCTCAAGAAAGCAGGAGATGCAAAACCAGAAGCAGTCTGTTGATTTCCTGCTGCTTTTACTAAAAAGTGTACCTGTTCATTGGTGAAGGAGCTCTGCATGAGATGGCTGAACAACCGATACTCTATAGAAGTCATGCCTAGTGTGCCTCACACTCAAAACTGGTGTGTTTGGTATTTTTGCTACAGCTTCAGTGGAGGAGTTGCTTTCTCAATCAGTTCACCTGTGCCTACCATGCTGAGCTAGTTTAAATTAATAACTTCCATATTATTTTGAGTGTTGAGCATGTGTTTTTCTGTTACGAGCGTACTCCTACTGGAAGAAATCAAGTTATTGAAAAATTACTTTGTTAATTGCATGTCATGAATTTTTATTGTTTTGTTTTTCCCTTTATTCTCTTTTCCCCCTTTTTTTTATTTGAGCCTCTGACTATCCACCAACATTTAGGTGTGTTAGAAGAGTGGTTTCTGTTTCCATGTGTTTAGTTGAAGTTACGGATTTTAAAGGCTCAGATCTCCAAAGCACCTGCTACACAACGTCCTCAAGCCCAGTTAAATGCTTCCCAGTGTAACCTTCCCATGCATGCATCCCAAAGACAACTGAGCATGTGCCAGCTCAGGCTTGTAGTGGCACAAGCTAAATGTTTCGTAGCTGTGAATGTGGCTTGTGCCACAACACGGCGCCATCTCTCTGGGGCTGCTGTGGGCCTCTGCTGCAACCCAGGCAGTCTGAAGGAGGCAGCCACCTATGGCAAACTAGAGAGGAAAAGCATAGCGAAGTGGCTGAGCAGGAAGGATTACAATGAGGAGTCTGCTGAGACTGGTGCAGAGTGAGGAAAGAGGTATGAATGGGTTGGAGCCTGAGACTAGGAATTGGTTGCCAGTACTGAGTGCTGAACAGAGAATTTTTGAGCCAGGAATTACACGTTTTTAGGCATCTTCATAACAGAGTGCCAGAGAGCAGCGGTTCCCAGGTATGTGCAGGGGCACCAAGTGTCCTATGGCAGAGGCTGAAATGTGCTGCTGCCATAGGTGTGCCCACCACAGCCAAGCTCAAGAACTAGGCAGAAGCAAAAGCCCTGCAGTGCTGGATTGCACAGTGTTCTCCATGAAAGCACATGGGGCTCCTCCTAGCCCACAGTGGATGGGATCATCTTGAAGGTCTGCTGTGCCCCACTCCTTTTTATCCAGCAAATTTGTGCTCCAGGATTGAAAAGCTGGGAAGTGCTGTCAGAGATCCCATCTCACTGTAGAACCCAGGCAACTCTGCTTGGGATAAGTAATCTTGATGAAAAGCAATAGAAGTATTTTATTGCATGCAAAACTCGAGCTTTTACATCTGCTTAATACTGCACCCACTCATTCATAACTTGGCTCCAGCTGTGGTGCTGCATATCTCAATGATCTCTGCTGAACTCCATAGCCTCTCGTTCGATTTGATGCACAGACATTAGGTTATGAACCTTCCAGTTGTGAGGAAATTCTGGCTAGACTGTTTGGAACTATAGCTGACTCTAGATGACATTTTTACTCAGACTTACATCAGGTAGAAATTTTTTTCAATTGTATTTCAGAGATTAAGTGGGATGTTGCAATTCCTGAGCCCTCTAAAGACTTCCCCATTTCGTCCTGTTGGGACAAGTTATGTCTTAAAGTCCCACGTCTTGCTTTTCAAGCTTCAGCTTAACAAGGCTGATTTTTGGGCTGAGCTCTGGGTGAGGAGCTGACTTCCTTTTCAAGACCCAGGCTTTCAAGTCCTTCGCAGGCAGTATTTCCCTCCTTTTCCCAGGGGGAGCTTCTGGGCTTTCTCCACCCATTTCTTTTTGCTTTTACCCATTTACTTTTTACTTTACTTACCTGTCTGTCCTGTACATCTTGCTGAGCTGTGTGGAGAAGAACTTTCCCAAAGAACAAGTATTCAGAAATGCTAAAGCCTGTAACAGTGGCAAACAAGGATTTAGTTCATTTATTTGTACATTACTTTAATTTAGAGATACTTAGAGAATAGGATACCTTCAATCAGAAAGTCCAAGGTGGCTTTGAAGGCTCTCAATTTTACAGACAGAGAAACTGAAGTGCAGACCTTAAAGTACACTTGCTCAAGGTGTTGGCAGCAGTCAGAAATAAAACTAGCTTGGCTTGATTAGCAGTCCCTACTTCATTTTTTAAACATCACTGCTGTCCAGCAAAGGAAAAGGGAAAAAATAATAATAAAGGTTTTCACTTACAGATGACAGAGCTAAATATGATTACTTCCTTACCTTGTTGTGGGTTAAAGGAAGACATAAATAGTTATTTCCAAGCTATGCACAAATTTGCCTTTTGAAACCAGAAAAATTATTATTCAGTGTGTTTTCTTTTGGTAAAAATGGGGATAAAAATTTCAAATAAATGTGAAATGTCAGCCAAATTCCACCTTTACTCACTATCAATACCTGGTATTTTAGAAGGATGTGCCACAATGTACTTGGTGTGTTACATAAACTGGGGGAATGGGAAGAGGAGAAATACCTTTACCCAATGATGCTTGATTTACATCTTGTATTTTCACCTACTAAAACAAAACTAGAGTTATCAGCAGTCCTTTTTGCAGTTTATTTTGTTCAATTCCTCTGGAAACTCCAGTGGTATGGAAACAGGTAAGATACTCTTGCTTGCTACGCACTAGTTCACCCAGGCAGATTCTGGGTTCCTTGCAGTTTTCTGATGTCGCTTTCCCGTAGATGATGTCAGTTTTGAACCATCCAACACCATTTTCATGTCTGTTTGCTCTCTTTTTCCAGCTTCTGGACATCCTCACTGCTTCTTTTGCCACCTAGAGCTTGGTTCTGACCGGGAAGTGCCTTCCAGTTTTGTCCGCTATGTAGATGTGGAATTTGACATGCCCACCACTTCTGCGTCCAAAGCCACTGTTCGGTCCATCTCTGTTGAGGACAAGACTGATGTGAGGAAGTGGGTCAACTATTCAGCACACTACAGTTACAAGGTAACTAAGGGAGGTGGGTCTCTTTAGCTTGGAGAAAAGGAGACTGAGGGGTGACCTCATCAATGTTTACAAATATGTAAGGGGTGAGTGTCAGGGAGATGGAGTTAGGCTTTTCTCAGTGATGACCAGTGATAGGACAAGGGGTAACGGGTGCAAATTGGAGCATAGGAGGTTCAAGGTGAATATCTGGAAAAAAATTTTTACTGTAAGACTGACAGAGCACTGGAACAGGCTGCCCAGGGAGGTTGTGGAGTCTCCTTCATTGGAGACATTCAAAACCCACCTGGATGCATTCCTGTGTGATGTACTCTAGGTGACCCTGCTCTGGCAGGGGGGGGTTGGACTAGATGATCTTTTGAGGTCCCTTCCAACCCCTAGGATTCTATGATTCTATGATTCTAAGGTGAAAATGAGCTCGGGGCAATCACCATGGTTACTTTGCATACTACATTGTCTTAAAAAGTGTGGGCAGTTGATAAAATATAGTGAGTAGATGAGGTGAGAATTTGGCACACGCCAGGCTCTGTGCAGTAGCTGCCCATGTGCAGCTTATTGATTCATGGTAAACGAGCAGTGAATTATCTCTCAGCAAAGATGGAATAAACTTGCTTGCAGTTGCTTTGTAGAAGAGCATACACACAGCCAGCTACTGGGGATTAGCTGATACTGTGAGAGTGTGAACAGGGAGCTTTGCTGCTCTTCACAGCAGCTACAGTGGGAGTGCTACAGCAGACAAAAGGATCACAGTGTTTTTCTACTTAAATATTTCTTCTTCCTGCTTGCCCTAACAAGAGGAGCAGATGGAAAAATGCACTGTGTATATACCTGCCAAGAATCTTAGTATGCCAAAATTTGCATGTTAGCTGATCACTCAGCAGAGGGATTGGCATCCTGCCTACCTTGTTTAAGAGCAATGATGAGAGATACTGAAATGATTCTCATGGCAAATATTTTTAATGGTAATTGTAATTACATTTTTAGTAGTGTCTTATATTCCCTTGATCTTCCTAAGTATCCTTTTTAAGAACTAAACATTGGATTATCCCTGAGTTTTCAGAGGTGTTGAAATCTAAGATACAAATATTGATGTGCACTTTGTAAATTAATGTCTTTGCTCTATACATCAGTCTTTGCAGTGTTTAAAATTGAGGCTGGTCTTCTGCTGTCACTCAGAAGCCACCTATCCCCTGCAGATATGGTTCTGGTTTTGGATTCAAGATAAGCTGGGGATAGTAATGAATATAAAATCAGGTGAGACCAGTTCTCTGCATGGCATTCTCTCCTGGAAATGATGTCATGACACTGTTGAGTTGTAAAACTGTTTGGACTAGAGTGAAAACACTTACAGTAAATAAAATCCAGCTTCTCCTCCTCAGTCTATTTTTCTTCACAACCCTCTCAGTTTACCAGGAGTTTCTTCACCTAAGCAAGACATGAACCACCACTAAGAAAGATTATTGAATCTGTTGTTTTTCTTTCTCACTGCAAGTGTTTTCCCTCTTTTTCCTCTGCCAGGTTGAAATAGAGAAGAAAAAAAGCTTGAATGAGGATCTGAAGGGAGAAGATTCTGCAAATGTCAATGAATGTGCTACACAGTGAAGGAAGATCTGTATGCAGGTCCCCAGAGGGATGGTCAAATTAACAGACCTGGAAGAAAGGACTTGCAGGGGGTTGGTATTTTTCTTTTAAGAAGTACGGAGTACTACTTTAAAAATAATGCTCTGAGGAGTATTACTCTTCAGTGTAATGATCTGTCCTTCGAGAAGAAGCTCATCAGCGTGTTGTTTCAGGTGGACCCATGTGCTTTTGCTGGAACTATTTAAGTAGAGTTGGGGTGTAGACAAAATGACCCGCATTACAGTGAAGCCTGTCTTTTCTGCGTCTTCACCATCTAGGCTCTGCACTGAAGTATGGTCATCATCACAGCCAAACCAGAAAGCCTTTGTCTCACTTACAATCTTGCCTTCCTACATTAAGTGGTTTTTTTTAATTGCCTGCTGGTGTTGTCATTGGTAGATTCACTTCTTTCTGAACTACCAAATAAAACCCAGGTAGCATCAAGTGAAAGATTATATAAAATCTGATTTCTGAAGTCGTCAAGAGTGAAAAACCTGAGCATCATTCTGCAGAATCAACAAACTCTGCATCTTAAACATACTAAATGGTCAAGTAAATGAACTAGAGACTGGACAGCTAATCATGTAGCTGTTCTTTTGTTCAGCCCTTCCTGTCTCATCCCCTGAACAACCACATGCCATTGTGCACATTTTTATTTGTTAGTCTAGGCTGTTCTATTATCTAAACTGAACATGGTTATGGCTGCTAGTAACAGGGAACGTGTATTATAATAGAGATGATACAGGAGGGACTTTGCTAAGATTTGACCATTCCTGCCTAGAAAGATATTTAATGGAAAAACATTGGGGTTTGGATTTGGTTTTTTTAATATGTTTTCTTGGATGGGTAAGGGGAGTGGTTATGGAAAATGTCAGAACACTTATTTTAATAGACAATGTTGTTTGCCTTCCTGAAAATCATTGGAAGTCTGTCCAGAACTGTGTTGCTTTCATATTCTATCTTGAACCTAAGATATAAGTAACTTATATCTTTATAAAACCCCCACTAACTGGGACTAAAAGTCTCTTTTCAAAAATTAACAACAAGCTTCCCTCGTGGAGATGTTTTTATCTCCACTTAGCTGAAAGTAACAGCATGTCTTAAAACTTCTTTCTAAGTAAAAATGCAGAAGGCAAAAATCATTTATACATATTTTCAGATAAAACAGTGTTCAAAGTACCCATTTTTTGTAGTTGTTTCCACAGTTTGTCTCAAGATAGTTTTTAATTTTGAAAAAGTAATTTATTAAATCACTTACCTTTTGAAAGGTTACTGCTGACTTGGAAAGCCTTGGTAATGTAATTTAAAATCATAATGAATTAAAATGTAAGCTTTTTTATAAGTTTATAAATGTATTTTATTTTACATTTCACATAACAGAAAATTAGTACACTCTTGATTTACTACTTTCAGTGTGACTCCTATAAAAATCACTACAATGTTGAAATCCCAAACAAAACGTGAGATTAAGTACACTGAGCCTAAAACTGGTTGTGGTAAAATTGAAATAAAATTATAGTAATATTTTAAATGCCTTTTTATGTGCATCTAAATTTCAGGCCTTTGCCAACCTAGTGATATATACTTTCACTGTAAATACATAAAGTCTCAGTCTTTCTAAGACTTAATAAGCATGGAATATTCTATTGCAGACAGTCCTACTGAAGCCCAGGGAGCTTCTTGGAGCACACCAGTTAGTACTAAGCATTCACAATACTTCTTTCTGCACGTAAGAATGTTACTAACTTTTAAGAAGAATTTTGAGATTGGTGGATTAAAATTACTGATAAATATCTGAGAGCACAGGGGTGAATTTGTGACTGATTCTCAGCTCTGCTACAGGCTGTCTGTGATAAGTTGTGTGGCAACTCTTCTCTACAAAACTCACTCTTCTTTTCAAAGGCATTTGAAGAACTTTTTGGAGTGATCCCTGTTTTCAATGCAGCTCCTAGTGTACAGTTTCTGAAGAGAATCAGTGAGAAATCCAAGAAAACTGAGCTGAAGGAGTGCTAAGATGTTGCTGAGGAAGTGTGAGAAAATTTTATGAAAGAAACAGTTGAGAAATTTCCTACTCTGATCTTCACATTCAGTGGCTGAATTTTTGCCTATTTTCCCCTAGCCCTTGAAAACATAAATGAGTACTAGTAAATAAGCAAAATTATGGTGTACTCCTTAAAGAGGTGAGAAGATCAAAGGAATATAATTTTCAATCTCTGTTGAATTTTAAACTTTTCAGTCTCTGTTCCAGCCACAGAATATTTCATGCCCCCAAAACCAAAAGATTAACTTACTGAAGGTTTCTGCATTTACTTAATTCCTCTAGTTCTTTTTCTTTTTTTTTTTCTTCTTCTTAAATTCAAATTTCATGAATAAAAGTAAGAGTAGGGGCCTGACTCTGAGCTCTCTATATAGTTAATTGTACAACAGAAGTTGTACAAATTGCCTAGTGGATTATACATTCAAAACTGAAAAAAAGCTATTTTAATCCATTCTGATCTCTGGAGAATATCTTTTTGATGTTTCTGCCACTGAATTTCAAGAGTTTAGGCTTAATACCTCTGCTAGAGTTTCAAAAGATCTTATTTCCCAATGAAACATTAGAGTAAAGAGTTTGATTTTTCCAAAGAGCACTAACAACAGAAATATTTAGAAAATCTAGTGATGGTATCACCAGGTGTCACCATTGAATTATTTTTTCATCCCAGCACCATTATGAGCATTAAGTATTTGAACACCAGGATCCTAAGTGTCCTTTTTGAGGCTTCCACTGTTCTTGCTTGATTAAGCAGTGCCAGTTTTTCATTGGTAGAAACTACCATTGTATGAACTTTGTGCACATGAACCATGTACTCTTCATCCATAAGGATGCATTAGTAATTTGGACAGACTATTGATGGGGTGAGGGGAAAAGAGCTGAGAGCATTGTCAGTTTTAGAGAAGCAGAAATTATTTAGATGCAAGCTATGCTTGTAATGTGGATGTTTTGGTTTGTTTTTTTTTAATCTTGGGGGAAAATATCTGAATAGTTTTGGTTTAATACTCCTTTTGAGAAAGATATAATTACTGTCCTTTGATTTATTTGAAAGCCCTGTAGTACTTAACAGTCCATGTAGGAAATGTGCCTTCGAGGTAAGCATACATTTACTCCCTGAAACTATTCCCACCTTCACCTTCTTTCGGTCTCTCATTATGCTTTTGATTAATTTTTGTACTGTGGTAGGACTGAGGTGTTGCAGAGAATTTTTCCTAGAAAAATAAACAGTCTTTGATCACAAGGTGTAAAGATGAACAACATCTCTGTGCAGCTGAGCTTATTTTAGTGAATGCCTCTTACATTCATTAACTGTGGACACTCTGCTAGCAAATGGGCAAATTCAGCTGAGAAATACTGTAACTGACTGATGTTATTTTTGTCTTTTATTTTATTTAGACTCAAATTTAGTCATCCTATGAAGGAGACAGATTTTAGGTTCTTCATTGTAGCAGCATCATAAAAGAAATATTTCACCTTTTCTGGTGGGTTGCTGGCTGACATATGTACTTGACAGGAATCCAAGACCTGTTGGTCTACCTGTCCACATGGCTCAGTAGCTGCTAAAGCTCCATCTTGATCATTTACCTCCTGGAATGCAAAAGAGCACGAAAGCAAGAGGAAAAGGCATACGAAGTGCAGCCTGGAGGTACTTGTTCTGTTGCTTGCATGAAATTCTCATTAATTTCCTTGGCCCTTGAATGCACACAAACTAATCAAGGCCTTGATAGGTCACCTCTGTTCCAGAGGCTGCAAAATTCCTTTCAGTGACTCTTGTTTATAGCTGTATTCATCTCCAGAACTGCAGCAGAAGAATTTGCAGCACAAAGAGATCACTTATAGATGAAGCACCTACCCTCTTCTGTGACTAAAGTTAAATCTACATCATGAGTTGTCTGAGATAATGAAATTTTGTATAACCTACCTGTTTTGTTCAGCCAGCCACACATCCATCCATCCATCCATCCGTCCGTCCGTCCGTCTGGCAGTTGATTCTTTGCACTATTGACATTGATTGGTCTGATTATTATTTTGTAACATGTTCCTACCTTTTTGTTTTGTAAAATAAGAAAGTCTATACACTGGCTAACTTTGTAGAGGTGGTTTATTTTTTTTTTCTTTTTATCAGTTCAACTGGGATGTCATGTTCTGTTTGAACTATGGGAAAACTTAAATAAATATTAAGATGAAACAGCATATCCACTTTTTCACTGTGAAATTGAAGTTGTATGTGCTGTATGTTCTGATAAGTCAGAAATCTTGAATTCAGAAGAGGGAAAGGGAGTGTTTTGAATGCCATAAAGAAGGACATAAATGAAGTAATAGGAACTATATACAGAGAAGAGATTATTTCATTTGATCATCCAAACTGAACAATGGACTGCAAAGGAAATTGAGCTGGTCTAGAGCTTGAGCCACATAAGCAGACATGTGGACCAGTGCTGACATAATACAGAGGAGGATCCAGCATTTGAATGAAACTGTCCTGAAACAAACAAATTGAGAACTGAAGCTTCTGCTCAGGAGGTCTCTTCTGCTTCAGTTCTTTGACTACTAAAGTCAGGAGTATGTCTAAGGGCACTGTCTTCCTGTGTTCAGAATATGCGTTTGTAAAGCAAGTGGAAGGGTAATGTCTAAACTATTTACAGAGTCCTCTGCTATGAATCTCTGTGTTCTTTCAAACTTGTTTAAGCCATGTATCATTTCATACATCTTTCCACTTCTTTCCCAGCCACCAAGACCACTTGCAGTCTGCTGTCTTTCTCAAAAGCACTCTGAACTAAAGAACTAGGCATTCTCATTGACCAAAGAAAATCCGATACCCATCATAAGGGCTGTTCAGATGATTGCTCTGAGCTCAGCACATTCTTCATAGTATGCCTCAGTACAACTGACAGAAAGTCAATCATTTTACAGTATAAGAAAATGGAGGTACAGGGGGCATGATGCC